TCAACACTAATAGTAACAACCATTACCATTTCTTGTTTATACATTAGTTTACAATACATACTTTCTCCGAATTCATTTATATTTTTCAACTTATATCTACTTCAAAAAACAGCGAAAAGATACTTGTGAGTTCCTCTTTGCTGATGTTGAATATTGGGAGCTACAAGTTGATATTTTCCTTTCTGTAAGCTCATTGCAAAGTTCTCCAAAAAGACTGCATGAACGGTATCCTACGAAATTGCACCACTTGCAACATAGGGAATTAACGTGTTTGAAAATATAAAATATAGTTCCAATGTACTTGAATATCTGGAAAAAATTATACTTATAAGTAATATAATTTATATATTTCACAAAATTTCAAGATGACTGCAGATTTATATACCTCGTATACTACGTTCTACAGTGTCACAACGCAAGTACTTCAACTTGCATTCTCGCAACAATATCATTCAATAATTCCGTATCTCGTTTTAAACATCAAGAAAACGTGATTTCATTTTTTTTATCAAGAATTTTTTATGTATATAAAATTATAGAATACATTTGGATTTGACCAAATATTTAATTTCTTTTAGTACAAGGTTACAACTTTACCTCAAAGTCTTTTTGATTACATAAAACTTTTTTATCAATGTTTGGTAAAATTGTTCTTTTATTCAACAGTATGTTTTCTGGCAGTTTATTATTATATAAATTTGCAAAAGAAATATTGTAAATTGAGTTACGAGTGTTGAATATTTCACTGCCAGAAAAATATTATTTTATGCTGTCGTTATATATATATATATTATATGAAATGTTTCATATACTTGTAACAATCGTGAAGCTTTATGTTTACTCTTTTTTTTTTACTGTTTTCCTTACATTGAATTTTATGAATGACCCGGATTGCATTATTTTTCTAATAATTACCAATATAACAAGTTGGCAAACAACGATTTATAAACAAAATGAAGTGGTTTGCTTTGAGAGAAACATGCTACATATATCGTCAGAACATTGGTCTGTCTTCTTCAAGTATAGTCTATAACTTTACTTTTACTTGGTAGTGAAACTAAGCAACACAGGGTTTTTACACATAAGTACAAAGACACAAGGAAATGATGTCATCAGGTGACAGGATTATAGATAAAGGTCAAGGCTGGTCAAGTGTATGAGCGGTGAATAAACTTAGCCAAATATGGCTGATGTTGCTAGGACCATTATCACAGTTTAGTGAAAGATCGCTTACTTTGATGATTTCTATAGTTTCTAAACTATATCTTTCCTTTTTAATTTTGGGTTGGTGTAGGAGAAAAATTTCATCATAAAGTATTTTATGATCTGACTCAAATAGATGACATGTTAAAGCAGATATATGAAACTCACCTCTACGCACGTGACCTTGATGTTTTTTGCGTCTTATTTCCAAGGAAAATTACGTTTGTCCTATATATTTCTTTCCACATTCGCATGGATACTATATATGCCTTGCTTTTGTTCCTTTAGTAGGAGTTCTTTTGGGTTAGATAGTAAAGTGTTTATCTTTTGTGAAGGTTTGAATGCAGTTTTCACGTCAATGCTCAAGTTATGAAATTGGCTGGTAATTTCATTAGCAGTTTCTGGCACAAAAGATGATGAAACACATTTGCTATGCTTTATGTTGTTGATAGGGGAAAACTATTTTTTACGGTTTTGATGTTTCATAAAAACTCTGTCTGTGGTGTTGGGGTTGAAATCTCTAGATAATGTTTCATTATTTAAGTAGTTCAGTTCAGCTTTTAAGTTCTTTGTGGGTGCAAAGTTGTTTAGCACGATTTACGTAGGTGAAATAGGGTGGTATTTTCTGTGACAGATAGGAATTAGTTTTTATATGTGGCGGCATGAGGTTTCCTGTATATATTAGTGGTCATTTTATTCTTTTATCTTTTTTGTCTTAACATCTCGAAAAAGGAAAACACCTCATAGATTAAAATTCATGCGTGAAAATTATGATATTAGGTCTCAAGGTGTTTAAGAATTCAATGAAAGTAAGTAGAATATCCTTCCCATGTCGCCATATACTAAAAAATATAGTCAACTTATCTTAACAGGATTTCAGATTTCTCTTGTAGAAGAGACACGTAGAGGTCACTAAATAGAGGCAAAAGGGAAAATTGCAACTCCATTATTTTGTTTATAAAAGTGGTATTCCTTGGTAAAGTAAGTGTTGTTTATGCAGTATTCTGTTAAGTTGATAAGGTGGTTTGTTACAGGATTGTCTTGTTCTAGTTTCTCTCTTAAATAGTGTAAGGCCTGTTCGACAGGGATTATTGAGGTAATACTTATCTGTACAGATTTTGATGTAGATAGAAATTATCTTCTGAAATTAATATTAAAATGTTTTCTTTAGTCAGTATACTTTCATTTGCAACAAGTACTTGGTGGATAGAATCGAAATAAAGAATACAGACTAATAAACTTTAATATAATTACAGGTAATTCAGAGACAAGTGGAATAAAATTAACAAGTTTCGGTTTAGTTTTTGAAAACCTGTTTTTGACGTTATAGGCCTTCAGACTTACCGCTGAGCCACTGGTTGACTATGCAGGTTGCGATAGGGATCAGAATTGATTTATGTTTGAGATTGACTTATGTGGATTTAATTGTGACTTTCAGGGGGCTCAGAAAGACACAGTACATACACTACAGTTACAGAGCTCACTTTCACGAGTATAAATTGGAATAGCTTTGGGAAAGGCTACGCTGTTACATAAAAACAACAACAAAAACAGCAGGTCAGATACCATGAGAGTAAGACCGGGTAACATTATAGTGAAGCTTGAGTTAGGGAAGGGCGAGATTGAGAATGATCTGTTTACAAGCGTGAAAAGCAGTAAAAATACTTAAGGACATATAGACAGGTTCAGTTAGTATTCTTTTACTAAACTCTAATATATTTGAACTTATGGCTGCTTGTCGTAACAAACGAGATGAACAAGAAGTTTGCATATTGTGTGTGTGTGTGGAGGGGGAGGGCTCTCATTAACTACACTGTTAAAGTTATTTGTAGTGAAAAGCACAGAAAGGACAAGAATTTACTCTAGAGGAGATTATAGAGCATGTTGATAATTTAATTGTTTGTACCAAGGAAAATTCGTTTTGTTTTAGTGCATGTTAGAGCAAATGATGTTGGAATAAATCAGAAGAGCTGCTTTAAAATAGAAATAGCCAGTCCATTTTGTGGTTTTAGGGATATAAATAGACATTTGACCATTTTGAGAATGTTTCATTGAGCTAGTTGTAGGAATGAATTATTTTACAGGATCAAATGATTACTTGCAAAGTTACCAGGATATACTCAGACCAACAGGTGAGCTAGTTAAACCTGTCAGATAGTTTCCAGGGTAAGGGTGAGTCATATACTAGATTCGGGAATCAGTTAAGCAAATCAGGTAGTAGGATGTTTGGAAAGCTCTAAATATATAGATATAGTTAAACTAAAGTTTCATGGTGGTGAGGAAGATTGGGAAATTTGAAATAAACAAGTTGAAAGGATAAGTAGGGCAACAACGAGTTTGGAAATAGGAGATTTAAAGCATAAGAAGTTGTATGTTAGTTTTAAAAATAAGTCTGTTATATTTAAAAACAAACGTAGCAGATTCAGTGTTAGGAGCATCAGGAACGAAATGAATGAGCTCAGACCTTTAGTTGAAATGAAAGACTATGGTATAATGAGAATTATTAGAACTTGATTAGATTTGGAGAACACTGATAAAAGGAATTATTTTGAAAATTAGATTTGATTTTTTGCTACATGTTGAGATAAAAAGAAATGGAATTTTAGTTTATAATTTTCGGAAAGCCAATGTTGAGGACATGAGACAAATTTATCATTAGTGAATTATAACAATGTGTTAGAAGGAGATTTTTACCATCAGCATATTCCCAAAAAAAAACAAAGAAGAAGAAAAGCATAATAGAGAAGATCAAATCTAATTAGATTACTAACAATCTAAAGGAGAAAACCAGAGGTACATGCCTTTAAGTTTAAGAAGTTTAAATTGGTAGATAGGTTGGAAAACTTACAAATGATACGTTGAAGTAACAAAACATGTAGAGTATATTTGAGACTATAGCTCAGTCTTAAATAAAATAATTTTTATTTTGTAAACCAAAAAATAAAAGGCTGTTGTTTTTAATTGCACTCATTTTTGATTTTATTCAAGTATCCAAGAATAATTTTTATAGTGATTTTAAGTCAAAATAGATATTTATTGTCTTTATATATATATACATCATTAGTAAGGTCTCACTTGAAATATTTTGTTCAGTTTCGGCCTTTTTATCTAAGAAAGGCTATTGACTCACTAGAAAGAATTCAGAAGGCTACTGAGATAATTCTGGTGATAAAAAAGTTATATTTTATGGATATGTTAAGATCTTTTAACTTGCTTTTTCTTGAAAAAAAAAGAATAAGGGGCGAACTTATTGAATTTTATAATATTTTTGGGGGGATCGTTAGGATAAAAGACTGATTTTTGAAAGGTTGTTTAGGCAGATTATTCATAATGAATCTAAGATTCAAATGGACAGCAACTGCTTGTTGTAGAAACCTACAAATGTAGAGAACGACGTTTCGAAAGTCTTCCGCCTTTCGTCTTCAGATCTTACATTTGTAGGTTTCTACAACAGGTAGTTGCTGTCCATTTGAAACTTAGATTCATTCAGATTTTGATTTCTTTGTGCTATCTTCTGAGATGTAGTGCTAAATTTTATAGATTTCACCATCAAAGTAAATATCTCATTTTCAAAACATATGTAGTGCTAAATGTTATAGATTTCACCATCAAGGTAAATATCTCATCTTCAAAACCTGTGTAGTGCTAAATTTGATAGACATCACCATCAGGGTAAATATCTCATATTCAAAACCTAACTTCCATTTTGGTGAGTCCATTATAAATAAAGAAAATATACGAATCACTAATCATTTGAGACTACTTACATTAGTAATAAATTGGAAATGTATATTTTACCGAGAGAAAACATGAAAATTAACTGCTTTAAATTAAGCAGCAAAGAAAAACAACTGGGTAACATGTGCAAAATACTTTTAGTCTCCTTCAACTTCAGTTTTAGCAAGAATAGTATTAACCACTTTGACTCTTATAATGCTTTACACACTTCCTATCCTGCCAATGATAAAAAAACATAAAAAAGACCTTCGTTGTAGATACATATATAGATAGATATATAAAAGTCAGTTATCTTTTGGTAACGCTCTCTTTGTCTGTGTCGCTTAGCAACAAAAGTATGACCTGATATTGTTGTCTTAAGTATATATATAATACTTCGAACGTTCACGAGGGCTGGCTTGAATTCTACTTGTTTAGGTTATTTTGCATTTTAGTTTATGCGTATCCTTAGTTTGACATTTCTTGACGAATTTTAAAAACTCCTGAGTCTGAAGTTAGTGACT